TTCACTTTTTTAACGCCCCGTCTTCTCTGTCTTTAGATTTTGAAGCGATTTTTTTTTTTTTTTTTGCAATATTTCCCCTTATTCTCGGACGTGATAACCTTATCATTATTGCTTCTTATGGAAAAAGTCGAAAAAAAGGAATATTTGCTTTTTACGAGGCAAAAGCATTCGAAAGCAGCTTTGGCGCTAGAACGTGCTAAAAGCAAGGCTGTCGATGGCTTCCTCTTCAGCAGGTTGCTTAGATGTGTTTCAGAAATTTTAAAGATGCAAACAATGGATGTCTCTGGCTAGGAGATTGGAAAAGGACGGGGGCTTGAAATCTTCTATGTGTTAACATACGCAGTTTGTTTGGCATTGTTTGCCCACAGAGAAGAGAAACACAGTCGAATTTTGACAGTTATGAAAAAACTGAAAATGCCATTTAGATCTCCCAGATAAGCAAGCCTGTACGTACATTGAGCTGGTATTCTTTCTGTTTCATTCCTGAGCTGTAAACACAGACGGCAGAATTGGTGTGGAATGGGTTGGGAATCATCAGTACAATGCCCCAATCCTCCTTGTTAAAAGAAACAAGGGGATTACCACATGTACGCTAATAGCGGGTTTGACTTTCTAGCAAGCGTCAGTCCAAAATGTTTGGCATTATTGGACCACCGTGGAGAGGAAAACAGTCGAATTTTGACAGTTATGGAAAAACTGGAAGTGCCATTTAGATCTCCCAAATAAGCAAGCCTGCATGTACACTGAGCTAGTGTCCTGTCTGTGTTTCATCCCTGAGCTGTAAACACAGACGGCAGAATCGGTGCGGAATGGGTTGGGAATCATCAGTACAGTGCCTCATTCCGCCATGTTAAAAGGAATATGTGGATTACCATAGTAAGCTGATAGTGAATTTAGCTCCCTAGCAAGCGTCATTTCAATTTGCCATCAAAACTTACAAGCGAATCGCTCAGGAACTTTTGTTCCGTTAGCAAAATCTAATTTTCGCACGGCAACAGCAAAACAAGCCAACAGACTAAAATTTACAACGTAACAAACAAAGCTGTACCTGCCGATGTCTGGGTACCGGTGGAGTAACTTCTGCTGATGCTGGTGGTGGCACAGCTGGCTGAGATGCCTTAAGTGAGACCGGGATCTCGTTCTCATTCACCGGTTTACCAGCTTCAACCTTCCCGATTAGTTCGTTAATCCTAAGCAATCCTCGTTCGAACCTGCGCAAAAGCTAACCATTCATAATGCGAGATTGAAAATATATAAAAGTATAAAATTCTGTCGCGGTGTGGGGTTAAAACGTATATGAATCAATGGACCGAAACGTCTTAGTTCACTCTTAACACCAACCTTCGCTACCCTTTCTTGCTTTTGCTCTGCATTTTCAGGTTTGACCTGGAAGCTGCAACCTATTTAGCTCAGAATGAACTGCTCTACGGCAGAAGCCAAGCACAGAGATACTTCGTAAAAACAAAAATATGAAAATGAAACTGCAAAAAAGCTGTCCGATTATGGAGAACATGACTGCAGGGTCCGATATCAGGTAGCATATTTCTCGGCCTCCGGA